GGCCCTTTCCTGGAAGCGGCCCAGGGCTGTGGTGATTGCGATGGACGCGCGGGTTTGCCCCCAGGCACGGAAAAGAGCCCTCCCGCCAGCGAGAACGCGGGACGGGATCCCACCTCCTTGTCCCGGCGTGCAGGAGAGAGCGACCAGCACCTTCCCCCGTTCTATTCTGCCTCGGCCATACCACCCCTGCCGCAGCCCCCCTTCCTTTCCTGGAAGCGGCCCAGGGCTGTGGTGATTGCGATGGACGCGCGGGTTTGCCCCCAGGCACGGAAAAGAGCCCTCCCGCCAGCGAGAACGCGGGACGGGATCCCACCTCCTTGTCCCGGCGTGCAGGAGAGAGCGACCAGCACCTTCCCCCGTTCTATTCTGCCTCGGCCATACCACCCCTGCCGCAGCCCCCCTTCCCCAGCAGCCTCAGGCAGCGCAGGGAGCTGATCCGACTGGAAATGCCGGGTGATTTGGTGCAGCTAACGCAATTTGGAGGAAAATCGTGATTCTCAGCACGCACCCGGGGTCTTTCATGCATATATGTTAGCAAGGCAGCTCCGTGTGGTGGAGAAATAAAAACATCTCTCGAGTGCGGTGTTGCCTTGTCCTCCAGCTCCTCGGGAGAATGTTCTTCAGAGGGAGCGGGAATGAAAAATAAACGTGTTTATTGCACCATTTTCTTAACACGCTTTATTAAGGTTGTGTTTGGCTTGAGAGAGTTTTCTGCCTTGGAGCCTGCACGGATTAGGCAGAGCTAGCAGCTTTACAGGCATTTTGAAATGTCCCTGACTGTCCCTGTTGTTATTATAAACATTTTCTGTACACCCATTCTCCTTTATAAGCTTTTCTTGTCAAAGTTGCTTGGTGAGGAAGGAGCGGAGACATCTTTAGTATCCCGCAAAGAGCAGCCTCTGGTCTTACTGGAAGATAAAGCTGTCCTCAGGGAGGGTTCTGGGATTTTAGTTCAGATCCTCCTATAATATGAGTGAGAAAAATGCCCTACAGAGCTTTTATCTATGAAACAGCTATTGATGTGATCACAGTAGGATTAAAAACTGTATTCTATTTAATGTGGTGTTAATCGCTCAGATTTGAGTTCCTTGCAGTCCCACAGGCCTCCAGGAATGTTCATAACTTCCAAACCTGTTTAGCAATGCTGAGTTACTCTGAGATCATAGAATCATTTGGTTGGAAGAGACCTCTAAGATCATCAAGTCCAACTGTACCTGTCCACTGCTAAACCCTGGCCCTAAGCACCTCGCCTGCCCAGCTCTTAAATACCCCCAGGGGTGGGGACTCGACCCCTTCCCTGGGCAGCCCCATCCAGTGCCAGCTCCCCCATCCTGTCAGGCAGCTGTATGGAGCGATAAGGTCTCCCCTCAGCCTCCTCTTCTCCAGGCTGAACACCCCCAGCTCCCCCAGCCGCTCCCTGTCAGCCTTGGGCTCCAGACCCCTCCCCAGCTTCATTGCCCTTCTCTGGACACGCTCCAGCCCCTCCATGTCCTTCTCGGAGCAAGGATCCCAAAACTGAACATGGCATTCAGTGTATTGTTACAGGCATTCCCCTATGCTGCCTTTTGTCTCTGTGTTTATAAACTGACTTGGGGTCAAGGCTAAGATAGTAAAAGCACCGGGAGGGCTTGTTTTGGGTCCCATGGAGTGGCCTTCCTCATCACCTTGCTGTCCCTGCCTCTGCAGCGGCTGCCCTTGCCACGCAGACAAACATTGTCTCCCACCCTGAGAAGCCAAGCAATTTGTTTATGGGACTGGTGATTCAGATTGTTAAACAAGGGAATTTCTTCATGTTGGGAAATACTGAATGGTTTAGGGGCTGAGGAGGAGGATAGGCAGTGCTCTCCCTGTTTGGGTTGCTGTTTGGAATACTTAATTCTTATGTAGCCTTCAGTAAGCATGGGATAGCAGAATAATTTGTTAAGGTGTGTTAAGATTATTACCCACAATGTAGATGAGGAAGTTGAGAGAGCAGGGAGATGAATTTTCCAATTCTATCGCCTGAAAATAAACCCAGTCTGGGTTTGCAGCCTACCGGGCTAGTTTTCACCCCCTGATGTCAGTCTATAGCACATTACTCAATATTGTTTCAAGTTCCTTCTCTTGTTTTCAGCTTTGATATAGGCTCTTTGAATTTAGTATCTTGACTGATTGCAGACACCACAATGAAAGATGCCTTCCTGTGCATCCTGTGACCTCTTCACCTTTTGAATAGTTGCTGTAGTTGTGAGGCAGCAGTACAGAGGACTATATATATATATATATATATGTACATTTTTATTACAGCCAGAAGAGGAGCCAAAAGAGGAAGCAGCCCCAGCCAAGCCTGTGGTGGGAATTATTTACCCTCCTCCAGAGGTCAGGAATATTGTGGACAAGACTGCCAGCTTTGTAGCCAGGTAAACGACACTGGTGTAGTCTCGCGTTTCCTGGGATTTTCATGCTTCTCTTCCAGTGCTCGTGTCTGCATAGCTGCAGAAACTGAAGTGGGTCACAGTCGTGTGAATTTACACAAAGGATTTTAAAGATTCAGTCTATATAAGTGAGACCGTGGAAAAGAAACGACAATATTCTACTTAAGAGGTGTAAGACACGCTTTGCTAGAAAAGTTATGGTAGCAAATTAAATGGAGTTCTTGGAAGAATTTATAGTACACGCTGCAATAACCAGGTAATGGTTCCTGTTCCCGATGATCTGAAGGGAAAATGAAATTCCCAGTAGAAAGGGAACCCCATTACAGGTGCTCTGCTGAGCGATGAAGCCAAGAGGAGTCGTGACTGTATTTTACAGCGTGTAGGCAGACTGTAGGTGATGAACATTCCAGTACAAGGGTGCTCTCTTGGTTGTTGAGCCCGGAGGTTAAGTCCCGTCCCTCTTTGTGTACAGCTTGGTAAACTGTGCCAGTGGCTGGGGTGCGTGTTTGTCCGAGCCTCGGTCATCTCTCTCCCCCTTGGTCGCTGGAAGAAGAGAAGTGTGTGCCTCCGGAGAGCAGTCCCATCCTCTCTTAGGACAGATGAGCTGCCCGTGATTTTTTCTGGGTGGTTTTTTTTCCCCTGTTGACTGTAGCAGATTGATTAGCATGAGTGTAGATGCCAAATTTAGGGGAGGAGTCTAAAAGTTGAATGAATTCCACTCATTTGGGCTTCCTCTGTTTGCCTAATGTCATCATTCTGCAAGTGCACGCTGTTAGCGCTAGCCAGGCCATCTTTCTGTGTTGTTTTTTAATGTTCAAGTGTTTCTGGCTGTCTGAACTCTACGTGAGCTCTCAGGGGACCGGATCTCAGTCTTCATGGCAGCGTAGGAATTGCCCAGGAGGTAAATACCCCTCAGCTGGCTTCATAGCATCCGGACAGGCTGAATGCTGCGTGCTTTCACCTCACTGCAACAGAGTGGTTGTTGCTGTGGGTTTAAGACAATTACTCAACGCTGGTCTGGTCAAAGACACTTCTGGCATAGCTCATTTCTAAAGTGCTGCCAAGGAGTGTTGGCTTCCTTTGGGGATAAGGAAGGGGCTGTGTTTATCCTTTGGTAGAGACCTCCTTTTTTGCAAGATGTGGAGTGTCTAAATGAGACTTGGAGGTATCCAGAGAATATGAAAAGAAGCGTGCTACAGCACCTGGTAACTTTCTCAAACTACCCTGAAATAAATGGTTACGTGCTTTGCGTGAGATGTTACCTGTGCTAAAACTAGGGCTCTCCTAAATGCAGCGCTCTGCTGTGGTCAATCTCTGCACGT